CGACCCGATTTTGGTCGCGTCCCGAATCAAATTTTCCCTTAAGGTTCAATGTAATTACAGTTAATCCATTCTGAACCATATGTTGTTTTTTTTTAAAACCACAAAAATATGAAACAAAATACAGTACTAAGAGAGAGAACGCTAACCTTGCTCGACGCGACTTCTGGCATGGAGGACAGGAAGGCAGGCGGGGAGGCGGTTATTGCTTGGAGGGAGAGTCCCCTTCCCTACAGGAAGCCACGACCACGTGTCACAGGAGGGAAGATGGCCGCGGATCCTGTTCGTCACCTGATCTGGCGTTCGCGAACGGAAGCAAAATTTTGCGAACAGAGCTGTTCGTGACCCGAATTGGTCATGAACAGAAGCGTTCATGACCCGAGGTACCACTGTATTAATTATCAATATAAGTACTGTTTTCTAGTCTTGGCTTGATATGAAAAAGTTTTATTGTTTAATTATAACTGTCAGTTATGAGGGTATGTATCTCATTTTGAATGGTCAGGAGGCTTCTGGTATTAGGCAGCTTCAAAATTCATGCTGAAATGACTCTAAACAGATGCAGCTAATGATTCCATGGCCTCCATTGCTTCAGAGCTTACCTATGAGGCAGATCATATCCTCTAATTGGTTTTTTACTTGAGATATGGTCTATATATGAGGCCCCAAAAGTAACATCCTTGCCACAGGACCAGCATCTGTGATGATTGGACTGTTATAATATATTCCCCTCTGCCGAGACCATATTACATTAGCCCATCTCAGGGACTGATGGATCGTCATGGATTTCAGGCAAATTTCAAGGGAATGTTTTCTCAAACTTGGCAGGCCTCTATACATGAAACACCAATTCTCATAAGAGTTTGATATAGTGTCTCCTAAGCACCTTTGCTCCATGTTGGAATACATATAGTACATCATGATATACAATGTAGCTGCAGGCAATATAACAAAAGGGAAGATGACATACTGTAGGTCCAAGAGAAACTCCAATCAAGGATAATGGAGGCATCATCATAAGACCTATGCCACAGCAATCACAGAATACAACAGGATATGAGTATATCCAAGAAGCTCTTTAGGGTTGTTGGATACATTTAATAGTTCTGACAAAGTTCAGATTCCATTTGTATTCCATTCTGAACAGCTTGGCAATTCTTCAAATTACCTGGATTACTGGGATTGTAATTACTTTAAACAGTACTGGGCTAAGGTATCCAGTGCATTGTCTAATAACATTTGTTTCAGTCATTTCTACAGCTTGTCTCCTGAAGAAGTTGATAAGATAGATATGTTTATGCCATTATCTGTATGATTCCATCTTCCAAATGTTCAGACAGATTAATACCTCCTTCTTGCAGGCTGTTTCCCATCACCTTAAATGAGGCATTGATGAGGTCCTGATTTCAGAAATCACCTTTGTATCCAACTGACTTCAACAAGCATCAACCAGTGTCCAATATTTCATATTTAGTCAAGCTGATGCAGAAGAAACTAGCACTGTCCAGAAGCTCTTATATGAAATGACTAGGCTTGCTCCTTTCCAGCCTGAGTTTAGATCTAGATAGAGCATGAAGACTGTCTTGGTCATTTAGATAGATGATCTATACTGGGAAAAAAATGGGGGAATGCAAACCTGTTGACACTCCTGAATCTCATTGTATCTTGCTGGAGCGCTTGGAAAAACTGGGATTTGAAGACTCTGCTTTGCAATGGTTCTATTTGTATCTCTCCAAAAGCTAACAGAAAATAGTACCAAGAAATTTCTGCTTGACCCCAAGAATAAGTATCTAAGTATCCTGAAATCTTTTATCTATATTCAGCTACTAAGAAAAAGGTATCAGCTACACTTCCCATTTCTTGTGAGCTTGGGATTAAATATCAGCAGAACCTTCAAGTATTTCCAAGATTGATTGATTGATTTATTCATTCATTCAATTTATATAGCCACCCACCTTAGACCAGTGACTCTGGGCAGCTAACAACAATAAAAACAATCAACATTAAAAACAGTACAAAAATTAAATATAATATAAATGCAGTCAAGAGATCTTTAAAAAACTGTTGGTATCAACACAACCATGAAACGGGGCTCTTCACACCCTTGGGGCCCCAGGCCCGGGCGTAAAGCCAGGTCTTCAAGGCTTTCTGAAAAGCCAAAAAGGTCAGGGCCATCCTAATCTCAGGAGGGAGGATGTTCCAGAGGGCAGGCGCCACAGCAGAAAAGCCATGTCTCCTGGTCCCTGCCAGTTAACATTCCTTGGCTGACAGGACCCAGAGCATGCCCAACCCACCGGACCAGATTAGATAGGTAGAAACAACTGGGAAAAGATGGTCCCTAAGGTAAGATGTAAAATAATGGATATGGGAGAAAAGCAGAAACTAAATACAAACAAGATGGAATTGATACTGATTCGTGGGGCCGTTTGAAACTGGCTGCATTCCTTCTTAAAAATCAGATTCATTACCTAGGCTTTTTATGGATCCAGCATATGCTAGACAACCACATAATACTGATCTAATGCACTGCTATTAGGCCTAATACAATAACAAAATTTTGGTAGTGAGCTATTGTGCTAAAAACAATAGTACTGCCAGGTAAGTATAGTATTATATAAATATTTAGCAGAAGCTTTTAAGATGTGAATAATGTAGTAATATTCATTGTACCTCCATATACTATATTTAAAAAAAAAATACCTTTGCTAGTCCAGCACGATGAGCACCTTTTGATTCCATATATGCCAAGTATTTGTTAAAATCCCTGAATTCATCCATTGTCGGTTGAAATGTCATAATTTTACAGCTTGGATTTGGAGGTGAGTCCAATGATTGAGCAGCCATGGCTGCTCAGCGTTACACCTGCTAGTAAGGAAATAAATATTGACTACTATGAGCTTCATTTGAACAAAACATATTATAAATGGCTTTTATCTAAATTTAAACTTACATGCTTAAAGTTTCTGTTTTTATACTTATTGCTTGAAGAGGCCATTAAAACCAAAATAGATATTGAAAGAGAAAAGGAGTTAATGGCATGAAAAGACTAAAAGCGTAAGGTATAATCACCACTAATTCCATGATTTTCAATCTAGGCCTTCAGTTCGGTCCAATTATACATGCAACTGCATTTATCTAGGATTTAATATCTAAACAAAGTCTCACAGAGTCTGCATGTCATTTCTGTGGACCTTGGTACTTATTTCCTATGTGTACATCAATCACTTTGGGACATAAATAGACATTCAGTAAGCCAGTCTAAAGAAGAATGTTAGATCACCTCCAGTTCAACCACTATTTGATGTAGAATTTTACATTTCAAATGGGGCAGGATAACAGAAACATGCACAAGTTTCCTATTTCCTGTAATGGTTGAAAGATACTTCTATACTTGGGTGTTAGGATGATATGGAAAAAATAAGAAGTTCTGAAAAATTCTTCCACAATGGCTATTACATTTACAGAATTTTCTTGTGAACTTATCTGACTGTATTCTATAGAATATTTTAAAAAAACTTTCCACAAGTGAAATGCCATAGCCTTGCCATATTTTTTGGAGGGGGGGGGGAGGTGAATAGACACATAATTTCATATACAAATTGAAGTAACAGACAAATGTGAAACTAATTTTTATATAATTCCTGTGGTTAAGAAGTGAAAGTATTTTAAAAATCCATACATTAAGTAAGGAAGATGGTAGAGGAGTTATAATTTTTACCTGCCGATTCTATACTTTCCTTCTATTTCAACTCAGACAGTTTTCTTTTGCCTATGAATCAGGGAAGGGGTGAAGAGAAAAAAAGAGAAATAAATCATTTGTATTACTGCATAAGTAATAAAACTTCCACAGATATTCAATATGTAAAATACATTTACTTAATTTAAAATGAGTTCATAACATTTTCCTAAATTGGAAAAAAAATTCTAAAAAAACTGAACAGGCAAAAAATAATTGATAGGATGAAACAAACACTCAACAAAAACAGCTAACAGGACAAGTTATGTCAAAATTATTAACTCTGATTTGTCAGAAATGTAACTTATGCTCAGCAAAAATATAAAATTATTCCAATACTTATTTTAGTTTGATAAATACACTTGATTAAAACAAATATTGACATCTAACATGCAGGTAGCAAAAGTTACTTAATTCTAATTTCTTCAACATTCTCAACATAGCAGTGAGAAAAATCATATACTTAAATGCCAAAGCTATTTTGATAAATGCTAGGGTATGGGAACTGAAAAAAAAAATAACGAGAATAGGTTTATGATACATATCTTATAAATTTGTATCTCTGTTTAAGCCAAACAAAATTACATTAACTATAAAAAGTTAACAAACAAAAACAAAACAAAAATATATTTAAAACATTCTTATATCAAAAAGTCTCAAGATATATCTTATTTAATCCTAGTAGTTTCTGCTCCCACTACACCTGACAGTGATGGAGATTCTCCCAGAGACTCTCTCAAACAAGATATAACTGGCCCAGATACTATCTATTTCCATATTGAGTAGTTTGATGCAGCACAAATCAACTCAGACACAGAAGTAGCAATCTAGTTTCAAGACTGTTTGCCCATGGAAACTTCGTCCTCTGCTTACTATGCTGACAGAATGAAAAGAAAAGTTGGACACTGTGCTCATTCTCAACTTCTTTTGATAGCCTCTGATATCCTATTTATTTATTTGCAGTACCATTTATAGTCCCAATCAGCTAGGACTCCAGGCAATGTAGAACATCCAAACATTGATAAAACAATACAACAATATATGATAATACTGTACAGTTTATCCTTCTTGATAAACCTGAGGGTTGGGGATGAAGTTACAATGTCTGAATGTTTCTATTTCTAAGAGTTCGTCTACATAGTCCCCTTGCCTAACCCTAACCCTTGCCCTGTCGTGAGATAGCCTACTTACCATATTTTCATGCCAGAGCCTCCATTTTAAGTCCATTTTAGGCCCAGCTTACCCCAAATGTTTTCCTGTGGAAAACAGAACAAACCTTCCTCTGTGCCAAGATTCTGATTCACATGGACAAGAGGCTTGGGGGAGATGACTGACCTGCAGGACTCCAATTGGCTTGCTGCAAGACTGCCCCCTCTCATCTGGCCGCATGTGGCTCCATGGCTATTTCTCCTTTGGCTGTCAAGAGAACAGAGCAACATTTCCTCCATAGGAATACTGACTTCCATAGCCTCCACCTACCCTTTGCTCTATGCTTACTGTCAGGGGAGCTAGGAACAGGAAAAGGGATTCTTCCCTCTCTCTGCTACCTAACTCTCTCCCCAATGCTCCCCCCAGTACAGACTCTTCACCACCTACCACCTATCACCATCCCTGCCCTTATCTCCAAGCTTTCTGGACAGCACTGCTACCATTCCTGATAATAGCAGCAGGTACTATCCCCACCCTTATCTGAGGGCTGCAATTTTGCTGGCCTCATATTTGAGGCATGGCAAAAGGACAGCTGCTAAAGCAGTGGTTTTAGCAGTGGTTTTCCACTGTCTTCCCATTTTTTTCTCCTCATAACTAGGGATATGGGGAAGAGTGCTGAGGGTTGCTCTAGAAAAGGCAGCCATAGGACTACTATTCAGCTCCTTATATTTTGTGAGAAACCACAGAGTTCCATATTGTCTCTTTTGCTTTTAAACATCAGTATAAGTGCTAAGCAATATCATAAAGGGATTTAGCATTATTACAAGGTATATTAAACTGGTTTCTAGGATTACTAACAGACCAGTACAGGGGCAATAAACTTACACTTTATCCTTATAAAATGAATGCTCAAGTTATAACTATGACAAATACAGATATACTTCAGGTTTCTAGGACTTGCTTTACTTCATTATTAGAACCCTGAGATCTGCAACTAGACCTTTGTGCAAAAGATAAAGTCTATTTGTTCTGGACACCCAAGCTAAATGAATGTTACAATCCTTTCACAAAAATCTATACATGATTACTTCAGCAACATAATTAAAATGGGAGGTCATTTTGCTGCATTTTTTGAAAATCATCCAGTGATTTACCAATAGATGCAGCGCTCTTTTCTGCCCATCTGTGATCTATGGCATGGAATAAATTATACAAGCTGCAACTTTTTCTAGATAAATATAGCATACATAATTATCAGTGCTCTGGTCATTTCCAGAGGAGGTAACAGCAATGTGCTGTACAAGGGGCTACTTCTTAAGATAGCAAACTTCTAGTTCAACTAATATAGAATATGGCTGTACCTAGCTATAGCAGATGGAAATATATGTCATCAGTATATAAAGAGCTCCATTTAATTCACAATTCAAATTGGTGGAGTTCTGGCTTGGGAATCAAGGTAGCTGAAAGAATGTTTATTTTCACTGGAAGTCTTTTTGTTGTAGTAGTAGTAGTTTGTTTGTTTTAGTAGCTATTTAAAAATACTGCCAACAGGAAATACAGAAAAAAATAGAAAAACACAAGAGACTAGAAAACAGATTTACAAGCTGTATAAAATTAAAATTTCAAAGCAAATGGTAAAACACCAGGATTGGATGGGTTCCCTATCAAGTGGTACAAAACATTTATAGATCTTTTGGTACCAAAACTTTGTCAGGTATATGAAGAGATATTTGATAATGGAATTTTATCACTGGCATTTAATCAGGCTTACATTACAGTTATACCAAAAGCAGGTAAAGATCATACTCAGTGTGCTAATTATCATCCAATCTCATTGATTAATGCTGACACAAAAATTTGAACAGCAGTATTAGCAATCATTTAATCAGGCTTACATTACAGTTATACCAAAAGCAGGTAAAGATCATACTCAGTGTGCTAATTATCATCCAATCTCATTGATTAATGCTGACACAAAAATTTGAACAGCAGTATTAGCAAATATATTACAGCAAGTGATATCATTCATTATTAAGAATGATCAAGCAGGGTTTATAAAAACTAGGCAAGCAGCAGACAACATCAGGTTAGTTGTAGATTTAATAGACTTGAATAAAAACAAAGATTGGTTTGTAATTTTATCACTAGATGCTGAAAAAGCCTTTGATAAAATACATAAACAGTATACGTTTGCTGTACTAAATAGATTTGGATTTCCTTTGGAATTTATTAAATGGATTAAGATATTTTATGAGTCATCCACATCTAAAGTAAAGATTAATTGTATGTTTTCTCCTACTTTTCCACTATTTAGAGGAACTAGATAAGAATGTCCACTTTCACCCTTGCTTTTTAACATTTGCATGAAACCCTTGGCTTGTACTATTAGATGACACAGGGAGATCTACGGAATAGTACACAACTCAGTTGAACACAAATTGGTTTTATTTGCAGATGACATTCTTTTGTTTATTTCTAAATTTCATACTACTATTCCAGTGTTGATGCAAAGGATATATGCCTTTAGTAAAATAGCAGGATACTCTGTTAACTGGTCCAAATTGGAATTGATGCCAACAGATGAAAATTTGGTTACCCATTCATTTAAGGAATATCAATTCCATATTTGTACCACATCTATTAAATATTTAGGTATCTATACAAAGGATATAACTTAGTTAGCAACAAGTAATATAAATAAAATATAGAGAGAGGTTTCTTCAGATATCGATAGATGGGAGTCATTAAACCTCACTCTTTGGGGAAAAGTGAATGCTCTCAAAATGAATATTATTCCCAGATTTATATTCTGAGACGAATTCCAGTTTTTATATCTGGACAATATTTTCAGAAAATAAATTGTTTAGAAAACTTCTATGGGGTTCTTCAATTCTAAGAATATCTTTACAGAAAATGCAATTATCAATTAATGAGGGAGGATTCGGTCTTCCGAATCTGGAGCTACACCATCATGCTTACCTATTGTTAAGTATTAAATACTGGAAGCCAACAAGCGGTGTTAATTTTCCAATTTGGGCAACTTTGGAATATACATATATAACACCTTTGGTCAGATGGACAGCATTAGGAGTTCTTCAATTCTAAGAATATCTTTACAGAAAATGCAATTATCAATTAATGAGGGAGGATTCGGTCTTCCGAATCTGGAGCTACACCATCATGCTTACCTATTGTTAAGTATTAAATACTGGAAGCCAACAAGCGGTGTTAATTTTCCAATTTGGGCAACTTTGGAATATACATATATAACACCTTTGGTCAGATGGATAGCATTAGGAACGAAATATACTAA